ATAAAATGTGGACACTGAACTACGTAGCTATATCCACGAATACCTTCAATGGGTAACACGCCCGAAATAATTTCTTATGAAAAATAAAAAATTAAAGAACAATATATGTGTTATGAAACACATTTTACGTTACATTTCTCAAAATATTTAACGTCCTATGAAATATTTTTTTCTAGATATTTATATCTATAAGAAAACAATTTATGTTTGATGCCTTCTTTTTCTTTCATGTTTTTTTAAACGTATTTACACATTTTCTGTATATAAATTAATGTGATAATAATCACGCGGAACTTTAGTTAATGGTCTAATATTAACTTGTCTCACGAATAAATGGACAAGGAAGTAGCATCGAGAATTTATTGATATCCAAGATTTAATCTTTTTGTCGAGAGTTGATTTCAGTAATACGCGTAGTCTATCGTGAGGAAAATAAAATTTGGAAATTTATGCAGATGTATGTATTTATGTTGTATTATACAAATAACATTGTTACGATTAATTACATGGTAATTTGTATATAAAAGATATATTTTTTATTTTCATAAATTTAAAAACATTTTTTAACAATCCAACGGGAATTGTCGTCATAGTGAACATGCACAGCAAACCGAGCTACCTTCAATCGTTGGTTCTACAAACAAAATAAACAACTTGTTAAATTTCAACGCAATTATTTTATGTAAAATGCATGCTATATAAAGCAGGACCCCACACAGTTTGTATGGAAATTGAATTTTGGTGAAATTGGCTGAAACTTTGGAAATAGATAATATATGTATATGATGCTGATCAAAAATCACAATAGGCAAGATTCAATAATCATCCGTTTAGGTGCTATCAACGTTCAAAAGTCAAAATAAAATGTTATTTCATACACATACATGTGCGCGTAACTGAGCTTGTGGTTAGTTTCACAGTTATAATTCATATATATGTGTGTAAACATATACATGCATGTATATATTTTTTTCATATAAATACATATTTATGTATTAATAAGAAGAATACATTTTGTGATTTTTAAAATAATACATTGTAATCCACTGTCCACAATCTACAATAGTACTGAAATAATACCTTATTTTGACTTTTGAACGCTAATAGCACCTGCATGAACGATCAATTATTGTGAATCTTGCCCATTGTGATTTTCGATCAGCATCACATAAACTATCTATTTCCAAAGTTTCAGCCAATTTCATCGAAATCCAATTTCTATAAAAACTGTGCGGGGTACTTTAATTGTCTATACCATATTTGTTTCATAAACAGTTTAAAATGTTTTTGGAGTTTTTTTTATAGTAAATAAATTATTTTATATTACAGTTACTAATAACTTACCTTGTAAAAGAGAAAATTAAGTTAATTGTTAATTACGAATTTTGATGTAGAATTATGTCTAGTTCTTCCCTGGTTTCCTGCAACATCTTTTGTTTATTTTTATTGTACGTTTCGATCGCTTTTTCACGCTTTTCTTCCCATTCGTACAAATGTTGAAATATAGGACATGCAATAGTTGGCGAACAATATTCAATAGCAAATTTCAAAGCTTCTTCAACTTTCTCATCCCATCGAACTTTAATGCACAATCGCAGCCAAAGAAATCTGCGAAATATGTGCGTTATGTTAAGCAAATGTGAATCAATCTGAATGAAAATATGCATATATTTACCGTATTTCACTATTATTGACTTCAAAAGCGTAACGTTGTAAAATTAATTTCAATTTTTTCACGGTCAAACTCGTATAAAAAGAATGTAGGTGCATTAAGAATGTTATTTTCTGAGCATCACAAATCTGCTCTGCGTCTATTAAGATAGAAAGTATACTATGGGTTTGATCCCAATTGGCCCATTCTTCCGCTAACTTGAAACACTTTGTTTCCCATGCAGTTATTCCTGGCACGACAGGTGGAGGAACTTCATCACAGAACCACGCGTTCCATGTAATATTCTTTATCTGAAAACAACATTGAAATCGTTATATTTAAATACTAATCATATGAATACTAGTGAAACTGCAGTTTATGTGTATGTATAAAAGAGATGTTACCTCCTTTTGGTCAGGAAAATATTGATATAAGTAGTTTATCCAATCTTTAGTATTTATACTTTTAAATGCAAATTCTTTAAAATAAGATTGAAGAAACGGTTCGAATACCGAGGATCCTCCTAACATATTCTCTAAATCATACAAAAGCATACATCCTCTTTCGTACGGCACATATTTACTAACTTTATGAGGCAACAAACCCGACAAATTAGGTAATAAGCATTTTGGCCACCATGTATTTGTGGATTTTTCGACCTATAATACAATTTCAGACAGAAAACAACGCAGTAAGAATGCAAGAATGTGTGTGTGTGTGTGTGTGTATTTGTTGTGTATACAATGCATAATATTGTTATTTGGTAATATTTTTTATTACTTTATTTTTATCTAATGAAATTTGATACTTTACCAGATTATTCAGCTCAATTAATCCTTTCCTTCGAAGAAAAGACTCCACGTCTTCATGAATCAACAACTTGCCTAAAATTCTTCTAGAAATAAAAATACTGAAACTCTTGTTCAACCACAAATGCTCATAACTGGAACATGTAACTAAATTTCCTGCCCAGCTCTGTGAGATGGTGCGAGCGAAGAAACTGATACAAGATAAATCTCCGTGAAATAGGGTCGGCGAAATAAATTGCACGCATGGACATTCTATTTCAAAATGAGCGATGCTTGGTGGTAGCACGCATATATCGTACTTACCTAGAAATATCATTTTATATGTCATAACAAAAATAACAACAATAAATAAGAAGAGAGGATTGATAATGCTCAAAAGTAAAATTTATTCTATGAATAAATTTAAGTAAATTAATATCAACAAAGTGAGATATTTTATAGTGAGATATTTTACCCCAAGTATAAGTTCCACACATATTTATGGCATTCGCCATCATTTTGTTAATCATATTCATTACACGAAACATATTTTCAAAACTTTCGTTGATAAATTTGCTCTCGGCGAATATATTTGATTTTTTAAAAATTATTGATCTTTTCTCTAGTGAGCCCACAGCAATAACCACCGCGTACGATGGTACCGGATGCATTTGACGGAATTCATATACGTTTAGTGTTGAATCCTCGGGGTTTTCTTTGGGCTCATTTTCTAAATGTGCGGACATTAGAACAGTAAAATGTTTTGGTACCGAAATCTAAAATATGAAATATAAGTATATAAAAATTTTAATAGATATTTGAGTTTATTTTATTTTAAATAAAGGAGCTTAGAGAGAGAGAGAGAAAAAGAGAGAGAGAGAGAGAGAGAGAGAAAACTATAGACATTTAAGTTTCAAAAAATTTGATTTTTTTCACTAATTATAATGCATTCCATCTCTTCGCAAATTTTTATTATTTTTATCAATAATATTAATGATATCAATAATAAATCAGTCGTACGTCATTTTTGTCAGGTAAATGAATAAATGCTGAAAGAATATAAATATTACTTGTGTTTAAATTCTTATACCTTAGCACTGTATGTAAATTTGACAGACGGAGTATCCTGGCAGGGAAACCATGTTCTAGCATGTATTAGCTGAAAAAATTAAAACTTTTACATAATCTATGTTAATGTTAATGTAGAATTAATGTAGAAATTAATCTATGTTAATGTAAAAAATGTCTTTGTGTAGCCAGTTTACCTTGTTGTTAGACAGTAAAAAGTGATGTTTGCCATCGGCAGTTTGCTCAGGTGTTAGCCAATACAATGCAAGAGAGCTTGGATTTGTTTGATATTCAATTTGAATGCAACATCTGAAAATATCGTATTGTATATTCAATTCTTACATTAATAGTTTTTAGTAACTGTATTTTTCTAAGAATATCCTTATACTCACATAGAGTTACAAGTGGTTGAAACAGTTTTTGGTAACATTATGTAAAGTGGACTTTTTTGCGTATGATAAAATTCAACGTAATGAGGTAAAGGTGTTCCATCAATGTTTGTGACACGTGATATAGCAAGTTCAATGGTATCTAAAATCTAATAATTTGATATTACATATTAATACCAAACAAAATTATTGTTTGATACAAAGGAATACGTTTAGGGGCACCATGAGCCACGGGGTACCATGGGTCATTGACTGTTTATGGTAATACAGAATGTTTAGGTTGATTCAACTAGTTAACTAGTATCATGTGACAGTTATTTCGTTGCTTACTTCGTATCTAGGTGGGACTCATCAAAGTCCGTAGTCTCGAGACGCACGTGATATAAATGGTTTTCGTGATGCGTAAATAACTTTTTAACCATTTAGAAATGTTTTAATATTGTTTTTGTAGTAAAATATACACGTACTAAAAATTAAGTGTAACTCTCTAGCATCTTTTGTCATTTTACTACACTACAGATAATCACGTGTATCATTTATTTTTTTATTACGTTTCACCGTTTTCTATCTTAAGGTAGTTCTTTTGTCCTTATACTAGAGAAAATTGATTTTCTATAGATTTTCTTGAAACTGTGAATATAGAAAATCGATTTTCTCTAGTATAAGGACAAGAGAACTACCTTAATGCTAAGACTCTATAGACGCGGAAACGCCGTGCGGCAGAGTGCGTTGACCAATCACAAATTTTGATTTTGCTGCAGGCGATTTGCGGCAGCTTTCTGATTGGTCAACGCACTCTACCGCACGGCGTTTCCGCGTCTATGGAGTCTTAGCATAAGTGCATTCGGAGCACCATGGGTCACACACGCCACTAAGGTTGATGATAGATAGATAGGTTAATGATAGGTTGATGATATGTTATTTTTGATTGAAGAAAACATGTCAGAAGTTAGTTTTTCTAAAACAAAAAAAATTTAGTAGTGGGTTTTGATATCTGTGTCTGTCCTGCCCAATCCTGAACAGTGTTGTAAGAAAACGTATAATAAAATTTTTTTTCAACTTTTGTAATTTTTCGTTATTTTTTTGAATAAATAAATCTAGTTTTTGTGCGTGACTCACATACTGCTCCAGTGATAGACCCATGGTACCCCGGGTATGTAACACCTGGGGTCATTTCTAAAAAATGTTTTAATTTTTTTTTTCAAAAATTAATCAATATTTGCCAAATACGCTAAATAAATTTTGAAATATACATAGTGCTTTAATTATTTTAAAAAATGAGACAAAAAATTTTATATTTAAAAATACTTTTCGGTGTTTGAATTTTTGTGGCTCATGGTGCCCCGATCTTTCCTACTTACTATTATACGAGTTAAAGGTGACCTTACTATCGTCAAAATCGCTTTTCCTTTGAGAATCCTTTGTTTAAAATCCACAATCAATTCTAAATAGGTATCTTTTACACGTACTAATTCTTATAATTAAAAAGATACAGAAATAAGAAAAACATAAGTAATGAATAATGATATATATACATGTAATGAGTAAATTTATGACACAAAATAGGTATTGTAATGAAAATTATTATGGTAGATGTGTGTGTGATATTACTTGTAACATGCAAACAATTTTCAGACTTTTATGCTAAGTACAATATATTTTATGCATTTAAAAAGATGCGTAGAATGTTGTCAGTTAATTAAAATTGTGTGAAAGAAGAATCTAATCTTCAGAATTATAAATTACTAAAGAGCTAAGGATATGTGCAGCAATTTCGTCTTTCAAACATCTTAATAAATTCCGCAAACATGCCTTATTCAATTTTCTTTAAAGAAGAAATAAGCAAATAAATTAGAAAATTTTAAATTATGTTTATGCAGCTAATTAAATAAATGAAATACCTGGATTCGCAGAAGTATTTGTATCTTTAGTAAGCATTGGAATATCCATTTTAAAAGAGTTACGTTATAGTCTGTGGAGAGAGAGAGAAATGACTCGCGATAATAAATCTTTATCGCGTCTAAACTGATCTCACAAAGGCACAGTATTACTTTTAACTTCTACCCGTTTTCCTTTATTTGTTTGGCAACATATTCTGTTTATTATAATGTCGTGTGGTCAAAGTGACTGTGTTTCCTCGCGCGTAAACATATCCGAGTTAAATAAATTAAGCAAATCAAACTGTCGTCTACTGTTGTGAGAGACTCATTTATTTTAATTACATGTAAAGATTATTCTTTACATTTTAAAAAAGTCTAAAAAAGTCTGATTACTTGAACGGCTCTACCGAACGTAAAGCAGCGTGACGAATTGTTACGATTTATTTATTTTTATTAGTGATGTTGAAAAATATAACGTCTCGAATAATTCTTAAGGTACTGGGTCTCTATATTTCAGCCACCAATTTGTGTGCGAAAAAATCGTGTTTAAATCGTGAAAATGAACAAATCAATGAAATAGACAATTACCACTTCGTTCGAGGTTGTATTAGGGAAGGAAGGGGTTATCGTTGACGAAGAGTCATGTGATATCATGGTGCTCCAAAAAATAAGCACCGGGCTTCGCAAGATAAATTGATAGGAAATTGATAGGAAAGTTATAACTTGATAGATATCGTAAAATTTAAATCACGTTATAAAAATTATATTTACCAATTATTACAATTTTCTACACTTTGTAGTAACTGAGAAATCGAATTATATAGAAAATTCTTGTCTTACCTAAAAAAGTTTTTTTTTACTTGGGTATATTAAAATTAAACTTAAAGCAAAATTTAAAATTAAACTTGAAATTTTTTCCGTCACATTTACTTTTCGAGCAGTCCAACTATTTTTAAGCAGTTAATAGTGACTCAACCTTGTATCTTGTATATGAAAGTCAACGCGTATGTTTCGATATCTATGTTTCGATTAACCATCTCATGAACATTTTCATTTACACGAATAATGAGTGCAACTTTTTCCTTGATTTCGTCCAACATTTTCCAACC